TTGTACTTGTATCTATTCTGGTTATTGAAATTGTACAGCATTTGGTTTAATAATTGTTTCTGTATGTAATGTAATCGTAAGTAAGAAGTAAATACGAAATACGTCTTTATTGTGTTTTTATTTTATTTTAATCAAGTAGATATTAACTGCAGCTTGAATTTCAAAATCATAAATATGTAAAGTGCTATCTCTAGTTCTTAAATCGTCTTCTAAATACATTTAGTTTGGTATCCCACTTAATAGGTTTTATGAGTTCAATAGAGTTTTCAGTTTCAATTGTGAAATATTTTTAATTAACTTGGTATAATTTTAAGTTTATCAGAATCTGACATATATATTTCGACCTACAGTTAGACCATCATCAATCTACTTTGTACTGTTTATTATTATTAATAGATTTCAGTTTTCTCAATGGTGTAATGTGTGTTGCATATATACCCCAGTTAGGTGTCAAGATAAGTAAAACCTAACCTTACAACCCAACCTTAAACAATAAATTCTTAATAAAAGCTTTAAAAGCATTCACATAAAAATTATGATAATATTCAAAACATTATTTTTAGTATGATACTGAATACTGATAATTCCCCACAGATATTATTGGTAACATGCATAACAACTGACAACCTATGGTGACAACATTTTGACAGTAATAATATTGTTAAAAGGTGCGAATCGTTCTTGTTCTATTATTTAAAAAAATGCTAAAAAGTATTTTTTAATACCACAAAAGGCAGATTATATTAAGTTGGTGAAGTTTTCAACTAATTTTTAATCGAATTGAAGTGGTTATTGTTATGTACTTGAAGTCATGATTTAAAAAAGGTTCTTGTTAGTTTGTGTCCATAGAACGATACTGCACGTAAAATTTAAAAATGTGAGTTAATATTGCTTGAACAGTCTTCGATTTAAAAGTGCAACTTTATTGAAAACTTTATGTGATAAAAAATAAAGACAGCATTATTAATATGACTACCAGCAAGCAAGAGACTAATTTTCGGATGTATTACGACATAGATAAAGGTATAATTTTATTTTTATTACATTATTTAATAATTAATCTGATTACTATTTAGAGAGCATAAGAAATGAACTTTATTGTACAATATGTGGTATAAGTATTAAACTGGGCCAAAAAGTTGAGGAGCACCCTGTTTTAAAGGTAGCTGTATGTAAACCATGTCTTTTAGAATATAATGCAGCTGATTTTAACAAGAACGATTTGTGTGTATGGTGTGGAGAAAAGAATAATACCTTAAGAAGATGTTTTATGTGCAAAACTGGGTTTTGTAAAGTAATTTCTGTTATATATAAATATTCATAGTTAACACTGTTTTTCTTGATGTTTAAATTTTTCATTTCAGAAATGTTTAAGTCACAACTTAGATGATAAGGGTAAGTGGGAGGGAAAATGGTTTTGTCTTAAATGTGATACAGAGCCAATTTGGCCACTTAGGAACATTTTTGTTAAAGCAGATCTTTGTAGCAGGTACTTGTATGGTTATAATGAACCATTTATGTTAATAGAAAAATATTAAATATGATGCTTTTTAAATAATCTGTTTTATATCCAAATATGTATATATATAGACATTATGTTTTTTTTTATAGAAAACAAAGAAGTCTATCTCAGGAAAAAATACTTCCTAATGAACAGCCTTTGAGACGACTTAAACGTTCTAAAAGTGTAGGATGTGCATTATCTTTAAAAGGAGATTCTTTAGCAAATCAAATCTCAAAAGAAACTATGAAGAATTTAAAAAAAACGAATTATCAAACTTTACAAGACTTTCTGAGAATTATTGCAAAAGATATGATACTTCTTTTTAATGAATGCAATAAGAGTGTCGACGACTTCAAATTAGATGTTTTTCAGCCATACACAACTAAAATAAGTCAAATAATAAGCTGGTTTTCGTATTTGTGTTTCTTTATTGATAGTGTTAATGATAATTTAAATCATTTGAGAACGAAAATTTTAAAAGAAAGTGTCGAATGCAAAAACTACGATGGAATATTGCTACTTTCAGACTATAGAATGAAACTTAAGAAAAACGGTAAAAAGTTTTTATTTTAATACAAAGTAATTCGTATTAAATGCTAATTTTTCTTTGTATTTATTTTAGGCAAAAAGGTAGATACTTCGCCTGATAGTATGGTTTTGCCGTTTTCAAGTTCATCACAATCAAGCCAAGATGATCTTTATCCATTACAGTCTACATCTCAAGTCAAGAAAAATTCTCCAAAAAACTTTCGGTTGAGTTTAAAAAATAGAAGAATTATTTATTCATCTGATGAGTCTTCAGATGAAGTGGAAAGTAGTACTACCCATAAAAAAACTTTTGAAGAAATTCAAGAGAAAAAGAAAAACTCAAAGCAGCAAAGTCCAGATGCTCAAGAAAAAGCAGAAAATAAATTGAGAGATATGGAAGCTAAAGATGAAGCAGCAATTCTTAAGGAACTAGAAGACAGCAATAAAAGTAAGTATTCCTTCACTAAAACATTCAAATGACGATTCATCACAAAATGTTAAATATCATTTTTTTATGTAGAAAGGGAGGAAAATAAGCAGGGAAGCAGTTGTTCGGAGTCAACTGAAATATATTCACATGACTTTTTGACTGCTCGAGACTCAAGCGCACAATTCGTCGATAGCGAAGAAACTATAGTACGCCCAAGTAAGATTTTTTCTTGAAATATTCTCGAAATTGAAGACATGAGTGGATGAAAGTGTAATAATGTCTCATTTTATTAAGTTGCAGTTTTTTTTTATCATAAATATATATACATTTTTACGATTAATATTTTAACATGAAAATANGAAAAGGACAAAGAAAAAGAATCAGAAAAAGATAAAGTACGATAAATAATTTGTTAAGTGTAAAAATATTGGTTTAATTATATAATTAATTTTTGTAGACTAAGGAGAAGACAAAAAGTACAAGTTGGAGGAGTGATCCTTTGTTACGCCAGCGATTTGAGATCTCGTTAGATTCAGAAGATTCAGATACTGGTGAGGAAAAGAAATCCAAAAGTGTTTCAAAAAAGAAACAAGAACTAGTCGAAACGATTGAGGATGATTTGGATATTGAGATGCCACAAAGACAAAGGAAAAGAAAAAAATCGTATTCATCGAGTTTCACAGACGACGACAAAGATATCAAAACTGAACTAAGTGATGATTTTCAGATGCCCGCATCCTTTAACTCAAATAAAACAATCATACTATTGTCATCGTCAGATAGCGACATTGAATTGTATGTCGTTTCTATAATTATTATTTTTCATAACATTGAAAAGAGAATATATTAAATTTAAAACATTAAATTTTCATTTACTGAATTACAAGTAAGAGTTAATTTTTGAAAAATAAATGGACTTGTGTAGAATTAAATGTATTCATTTGCTCAGGAAGTGGGAAGGGTCATAGCTCCACTTTTTTATCAGATGTCCTATACATTGTTTTTTAGACTATGGCGGTCTGGAAATTTGTCCTGAAACAGGTTATTATATTGGTGGGACAGTTCCAGACTCTTCCCAGTCGAGTAGTGCGGGACTCACAGACAGCGATACTCAATCGTTTGTATTCGACATTCCTGATAATTTATTAAAAAGTGAGAATACTTGCGGTATTAAGTTTTTTTTTACCACAGTTGTGTAGAAATTGGAAATGAAATCGGTGTTTAGTTATTTTTCATAATATTGAAAAGAGGATACATTTTAAAAGATTAAATTTTCATTTGCTGGCTTGCATGTGAGCATTAATTTTTATAAGGTGTACTAAGTAAATAATTGATATTTTTTTTTCTACAAGTACTTAAAGAAAAATCTGGGAAGCTGCGGTTTTCGTTACCAGAAATTGTATCATGCTATTGTAAATAAAACAAGATTGGTAAAGCATGTTTAAATATATAACATGAAGTGTAGTTAGTAAATATCTTTGTTAAATAATTCGTTGATTTTTTTTCTTGATTTTGTGTTATTTACGTTAACAATTTATACGTTAATATTTCATAAGTTACTTTACTTTCGTAGGTGTTGCAGACATTGCAGGTGTTGAGGCCCAGGCGGTTGCAAAACATGCTGAGACTGAAAAAGGTCAAAATGAAAACGGTAACATAATTATAGATCTGCTTTTTTAACATTTTCGATGTTATTCATTTTTTCTTCTTTTTAGGCGTGAATAGTAATAATTTAGAAACGAATACAAATGAAGGTGAATTAATAATTAATGTCGGAGACCATGAAGGAGAAATAAAAGGTAAGACAATCTTTATGTTATAATAGACCTGGCCATTAATAATAATTAATCAATAATTTATTTCTGAAAAAGATAAAAAGCAAGTACTTAATGAAAATAAAGACGATGAGATAAATGAAGGAGCAGAACTTTCAGAAAAAAATAGTGATTTGAAACTTGATGCTAACTATGTGGAAGAAAAAATTGACGTTGAAGAAGAAAAGCCTCGAAAAATTGACTCAATAACTGATGATGAAGTTTTCATACAAGAAAATTCAATGCAGGAAGTGAAAGATGAGGATAATGTAGAAGAACAAATAAATAAGATTCTGAATACTGTATCAGAGTACACCAATTATATCAATCCTAGCAATGTTGACGTTAAAGAAGAATATAATTATAGCACTGATGAACTTGAAGATTTATTAAGCGAGTCTGATGAAAACGAGAAAGATATGTCTACAAATGTCGATGAAGAAAAGTTGAAAAAAGCTTTCACACATCTTCAAAATGATAATTTTATGACAGATGTGAATATCACAAGCGAGTCTTCTTTGGATGTGTCAAGTGACGACAGGTAATATTGTCTATCATTGCTCTTAAAAGATAAATTTCTAATATTTCACGTATTTGTTTTTATTTTGCAAAAAGTTCTTTGTAATTTTTTTTTATTTACTTTTTTTTATTTACAGTTTTTCCGATAGCGATGGATTAAACGCGGTATGTTCGTCTAAGGAACAAGAAAAAGTTTTGGGACGTATTGTATCATTACCTTTGCAAGAATTAATCGTCCAAAACAATAGTTTGAATGACAGTAGAGAAGGTGATAATGTAGTGGAAGAAGAAACTGGTGGAACAAGTACAGATAACACACCAGATATTCTTCCAGCTACTTCTTTATCAAATGAACAAGACGAAAAAATTGTAAATGAAAAGTCAAGTGATAAGCCGTTTGTACCGAAAAGTTGCTGTGTTCTTTTGGACAGACTGCCTAAGGACTTCGTTTTGAACAAACTAAGAGAAATGAAAATGGATAAAGAACGCGATATTGAAGATGCTGAATTGAAAAAGTAAGTTATCTTTTATCTAATATAAGTCTATTAAAGTTGAGTTAATTATTCTAGACTTTTGAACCTAAAAACTCTGGACAGAAAAAGAAGACATTCCTCTAGTGATGAAGAAAATCAAAAAAAGAGACAAAGAAACAGTGTTTATAGTCCAAAAATTACTCAACAAAAAGATACGTCGTCTTCAAGCGAAGACGATCAATTTTACGAAGATTCTGATGAAGAGGGACACAATGTATCAGATAAAATTGAAGAAATTAAGAAAAATAGTGAAACTCAGGACAACCAAGGTCTGCACATTTTGGATGAAATAGCGATACGTCACAAAGCTAGTAATTTCCTTAGTAGCGATTCAGAAGATGATAGTGATGCTTATGACGATGAAGAGGAAGAAGAAAATGAAAAGAAAAAAACGTTTAAAAAGAAATTGGAAAAGGACAAAGAAAAAGAATCAGAAAAAGATAAAGTACGATAAATAATTTGTTAAGTGTAAAAATATTGGTTTAATTATATAATTAATTTTTGTAGACTAAGGAGAAGACAAAAAGTACAAGTTGGAGGAGTGATCCTTTGTTACGCCAGCGATTTGAGATCTCGTTAGATTCAGAAGATTCAGATACTGGTGAGGAAAAGAAATCCAAAAGTGTTTCAAAAAAGAAACAAGAACTAGTCGAAACGATTGAGGATGATTTGGATATTGAGATGCCACAAAGACAAAGGAAAAGAAAAAAATCGTATTCATCGAGTTTCACAGACGACGACAAAGATATCAAAACTGAACTAAGTGATGATTTTCAGATGCCCGCATCCTTTAACTCAAATAAAACAATCATACTATTGTCATCGTCAGATAGCGACATTGAATTGTATGTCGTTTTTATAATTTTTAATAATTTCTTTTATACATAAAAATATCTCTTGTAGTATAACGGATTCGCCTATAAGAAACAAGGCAAAATCTAGGAAAAAAAATAAATCGGAGAGTGAGAACGATGAAGATTCTCTCAGAAAGAAAGGTCGTAAAAACATTAGAGAGGTAGGTCATAAAAATTGTAGTATTATAATTGCTCACTAAGGTATTAATTTTTTGTTTCTCTTTTTTTATGCAGATACTTTCAGACGATGTTCTAGAAGAGGATACCAAGAAGGCGATTGAAGAAGAAAAGCAGCGTAACATACGAGTTTCTCAAAAGCAGCAATTGGTAAGTGTTCAATTTAAAACATTTACCCTTTTTTTTAATAGAGCAAAAATTTTTAGTGATTTCTCTTGACCAGTTATAAAATAAATTATCAGATTCATTTTTAATTGAGAATTGTAACTTATAACATTCCTGCTTTGGTAAATATTATTCAATAGTCTTTTATATTCTAAGAAATATAATTTTCTGTACATTAATTAATAAACAGTAACATTAAACTTCTGGCAGTTTTTTTCCATTCATTTCATTTGGCCAAAAATAAAAAATTCACTTAAAAGTTATGTTTTGGTGCCGCTTGTTTTTCGATATTTTACAGGTAAGTTTTTAGATGTCAAATTTTCTGTCTCAATCGTCGGAAAATTTGGAAGAAGAGGGACTTATTTTGGATGTTGACAGTGAGACACAGAAACCCCTGATAGTGGTCAACCACAATTTATCAAAAAGACTTAAAAACCACCAGTCAGAAGGGGTGAAGTTTATGTGGAGTTCTTGTTACGAAAGTGTAGAACAAATTAAACAAGATAACAAAGGATCTGGCTGTATTTTGGCACACTGTATGGGACTTGGAAAAACTTTTCAGGTACATATTTAATAATTATTTGAAAAGACCTAGTAATGGACAATTTTATTTGCAGGTAATCACTCTCATTCATACTCTGTTTAAATACCAAAAAGAGACCCGTACAAAATGTGTGTTGGTGGTTTGCCCCTTGTCTACGGTGCTTAATTGGGAAAACGAGTTCAAAATTGCATTTAACATCGCTTCTAACTCTAAAAGACCTATCGTGTATATTCTAGGGTAATTTTTTGGAATAATTTACTTTATAATTTTTGCTTTCAACTATCTTTTTAGGGATCAACAAAATTCAACGTTTAGCAAGGCTTCCAGAATAAAACGGTGGCATGACCAAGGCGGGATACTAGTGATGGGTTACGAGGCATACTCTTCAGCCCTTAAGACTATAAGATATTCTCAAAATACCCATGACAAAATAAATGCAGCCTTAGTTGATCCAGGTACTGTATATTTTCAATCATTGTTTCACTACATTATAATTTTTATCAAGAACTAGGTATGTATCTTTTTAATATTATTTTTATGAACAATTTCCTCTAACACTAATTTATTAATTGTAAAATTTAATAGTAAGGTTTATATTTTGTTATAATTTATTCATTTAATTCTTTAAACTTTGAATTAGTACTGTTATTTTTGCTTAGTGTTTAATGGGTTGCTTGTTGCAGGCCCCGATTTGGTAATTCTCGATGAGGGACATTTGCTTAAAAACGGCAAAACCAGCAGAACGATCACTCTTATGCAAATTAAAACGAAACGTCGCATAATTTTGACCGGTACACCGATGCAGAACAATTTAAAAGAGTGTAAGTTTATTAAAAAATCTCAAATTGTGTGATTCTTAAAGAATTTTATCCGCGTATTAGATTATCATATGGTGAACTTCGTAAAACCGAATTTACTGGGCAGTTGGTTGGAATATAGCAATCAATTCGTTAATCCAATTGTAAATGGTCAGTACGACGATTCAACGGAAGAAGACGTACGAAAAATGAAATATAGAAGTCACGTTCTTAATAAAAAATTAAAAAGAACAATACAGGTAATTAACATATTAAAAATATCCCACCATAAACATAAAGATAAAAAGGGTCTAAGTTAATACTCAAGCCTCCTGCACCACTGCTATAAAATTCATGGAGTGGAAAAAAGTATTAATTAGAAATTTATAACTCGGTGTTTTGGTATAAATGCCTAAATTTTTATTTATTATGTGTTTTCTAGAGATTCGAAGTCTCAGAATTGGAGACGTATTTACCCCCTAAACTGGATTATGTTCTTTTCGTCCAATTACATCCTGTTCAAGTACAATTATACCAAGCGTTTCTGGAAAACTTAAATGTGGACGTGATCCAGGCAGGACGACTCTTCGCTCATTATCATTACCTTCAGAATGTTTGGTCCCACCCTTACTTGCTGGTTCTTCAAGATAAAATGAAAAACATGACGAAAGACAAGAATATCAAGGAGATTGATACTATCGATCTAGATCCGGAGATTACGATGGTCGAACAAAAACCAATTGCGACCAACTGGTGGTCGCGAATTATTCCTAAAGATGTGGGGACGAACATAGAGTATGGTTCCAAGTTTTACATCATGCTATCGATAATTGAAGAGGCAATTTCCTGTGGAGACAAAATTGTCGTGTTTTCGAACAGTTTGAATGAACTTGATGGTATCGAACACTTTTTAAAGTTGGTAGGGACACCGAGTTGTAAAGTCTGGCGGAATAAAATAGATTATTATCGAATGGATGGCACCATAAAGCCTGATAGTCGTATGAGCCTTTGTATGTCGTTTAATAACCCCAAGAACACCCAAACCAAGTGAGCTATTAATTTGCGATTACTCATTTTAGTCAAATAATATGAATTACTGTTATTATTTATTATTTCAAAACTACAATATTATCTCGAAAGCATAATTTCTTTTATTTGCCTTATATTCAAAATATTGCTTAGTCGAAATATTAGTTTATATTAATTTATAGAGTATTTTTGGTCTCCCATAAAGTTGGAGGATTGGGATTAAATTTAGTTGCTGCAAATCGTGTTATTTTAATGGACGTAAATTGGAATCCGTCTTATGAAAGTCAAAGTATATTTCGAACCTATCGTTTTGGACAAAAAAAGACTTGTTACGTTTACCGTTTAGTATCAATGGTAAATAATTTGTATCTTACACTAATAATATCTATTATTATTTTTTATATGATTAATATCAACAGGGAACGATGGAAGAAGTCGTTTATGAAAGAAGTGTAACAAAATTAGCTGTAGCAGGCCGTGTGGTTGACGAAAGACAAATCAGCAGACATTACAAAAGTGACGATCTACAAAAAATGTATAGGTAAGATTATTTCTTGTGCGTATTCGATTTTTTTTTTTAAAGGGCTTAAGAGTTCAGTGAAAGATACATCAGTATGGTGGTGTTTATTTTAATTGTTTTAGAGCAAACTTTGATTTGAATCAACTAAGGCCAAATCTAAACGTTCCTGAAGACGTAGTTTTGGGCAAAGTCTACCAGAAACATACCAAAGAACTTTTTAAATATCATTCGCATCAAGCATTGCTAGAAAACTTACCACACGAAAGTCTTACAGAAGAAGAAATGGAGAGGGCGTGGCTTGAATTTGGAAGAGAAAATGAAGGTACTTACATAAGAAAAATATTCCTTAATAAGTTGTTATTATGTAACTTTCTTTTTCCAGCTGCAAGAAAATTGGAAATTAGCAAACAATTTATAGAAAATGCAAAAAAGAATTCGGTTGATATGTAAATATCTGGAAGTTGTTGTTTTAAAGTACTTTTTTAAAAAAATTTTTTTTTTAGACGATATCAAAAAAACATTGAAACTATAAACGCTCTTGCTGAAGACGTGGCAAACAAAGGCCCTCTTTTAAATTCCACGATTATGAGAAATGGAAATTTCCTCAATATTCCAAACACGTCAATGTCAGCATCTTTAGTTCCTGCTGCTTGTCGTGCATTTGCCAAAGAAAACTTAAACAATTTTATATCCAGTCAAAAGACACTTACACAAACACTACCTTTGATAAGTAATGTTTCTAGTGCTTCACGGAATTCTTCCACTCAAGTGGGTCAGTTTGAAGAAGTGTTCGTTCCTACTAGATTTGGTGATGTTGATGCCAATGAAAACAGAGATAATGATGTTATTGTACTTGAAGATAATTCATGGTACAATCCTAGTCCTGCATCTGTTGATAATAATAAAAGTAGTGAATATTCTAAAGTAAGTTTAACTTTAGCTATGTTATTTTCTTAGTTAATAATAATTGTATTATTATTTTTGGCTTCCTTTTAAAGCAAAAAAGAGCCTTTAATGTTTTCTTTTATTTTTTGATAGACTGATGGTCGAATCAAAGCATCTGAGCAAGTTCCAAATAAGAATCGGTTTCCTCCATCTAATCGTATAAACATCAACCTTCTTAGAAAACCAGCTTCAACGCGACTAGTTCCACGTGCTACTAATACCATGATCTCCCAGGAGGTGATAGACGTGGAAAACCACTCGCTTTTGGCAAAGCTTGCAAAAAATCACGACATAAGTGTATCGCAAATTTTGAAACCGAAAATTCCGGAAGTTGATGATCAGACTGACAAAGGAAATACTTCTAACAACTGTGATAATGTGGTGGAGACAAGTAACGTTTTTTATGCAACTTTCCTAGTTTGATTAATTTAACACGAAAGACAAACATCTTGAATTAAATTAAAAATTTTAAATAATTATATCGACTTTAACGAATAACGATTAATTTTAAATTTATCAGCAACTTATCGTGTGATAAAATTAAATTCTATTTGACACACCCAACAACCTGCAACCTTTTAATTTTCAATCATTACCCTTTTCAGGTGTAATTCTTCTATAATAATATGGATAAAGAAGATATAGAAGAAGTAGATTTCTTTTTTTATTTTGTGTAATACGATAAACTATTTTTTACTACGATGTGAGTTACTTCGTCGCAAGGAAATATTTTCTAGTGCTTATTCAATAATAATAAAAGAAAAGTATATTTCATAAACTATTTAATTTCAAATTGTTTGCCAACTTCGAACACGTCGATTTCAGGTTTAACTTTGTCATAAAGATGAGGAAAAGCATTTTCTAGTCCATATCTTTTACGTACGCGTTCATACAGTTCCAAGTCGAACATTTCTTCAAATTCCTTTCTGGTCATGAAGATGTCTGCGTAAAGGAACGAGAAACCTCCAACATCGCGAGTGAATTTTTCCATTTCTCTCATTGCCGCGACGGGATTATATTTCTCTTTTCTTTTCACGTATCCAGGTACGCCATAAATTCCTAGATCGTTGTACATTGCATAATCGGTTTGTTTTACGATGTATTTTTGCGGTGGTCTTTTTAACTGTCCCGACGAATGTCCTTTATTGTAAACCTTGCATGGATACACAAGAAGAGGAAATACGTCGAAAAGTTTGCAAGAAATGTCAATTTGCTTTTTCAATTCTTGTATAGGCAGAACTATGTCCTGGAACACTTGTCTAGTGAATGTATAAGCCCGTACACCTAAGTATTGAAGGAAGGGTGTATTTTTTATTTATTTACAACATAATCATTTGTGTACTTTCCTCACAATATTTTTTGGCGCTACGTATTTTAAAAATAGATTGTTATATTTTCATTAGCCCACTTTAAATTTGAGAACGTAAATAATAAGGAATTAACAATTAAGATACATTTTATGCAAATTTCTTCTAAATGATGAATTCTTAGTTTATTGTTAAAAATAAAGCTTTTTGTTTCTTTTATTGAATTTATATATTTGGCTTAGTCAGTCAACATTTTAAACTTTCGTGATAAAAATATTTCTCACCTGGTGTGGTGGTAAACTTGAGGAAAGCTGGTTTTGGGGGTAACAACCAGCCCAAGAAAAACCGGAATATCGGATTGTTTCCAAATGGTATCATTGATTCAACTACCCAAAAGATGGCTCGATTATGTCGTAATAAATAATCTCGTAGAGGAATTAATTCTGTGTGTTGTCCTGTACTTAAAAATGACTCTACGTATTTATAAAACCATGGCTTATACCACCTAGCAACTTTATTTACTTTAAAATTGGGATCAAAGTTTGAATAATCAGCCTTCATAATTACAGCTTTGTCTTTACTGAAAATTGTAGCTTCCACATAGTCAGAAACTGGGTCTTCCTTGCTCTCAGCTCCAGACACTTTACAAATCAAATTACAATAATTTTCCTGCCCTACAATAGGTATATATGTGATTTTAACATAAGGTTTTATTTTAACCAACTTCAAAGTAAGTGCAACAAGGAAACCCAAACTGCCATGAGACCAGGGCAATGTTTTATACAACTCTAGATTCTCGTTTTCAGCTGCTCTCATCAAACTTCCATCAGGTAAGATTACTTCATAAGAAATTACGTTTTCATGGTACAAGCCGACTTGATGAGAATGTGTGGTCATACCAGTACCTAAAGCAAGCCCCCCTAGAGTTGCATCTCCAATTTCTAAAGTGACAGCAAGTGTGTATCCCTTCGGAATCAAAAACTTCGTGATTTGATCAACTGTTACTAAAGGCTCGACTCGAACAGTTAAATTTCGCTCGTCTAATTCTAAAATATCAAACAAATTGATGGGGATTTGATGGCACTTATTTTTCTGGAAAAATTTCGTCGATAAACTTAGCCAATTAGGACGTGCAGTGCATAGCAACTTTTTATTATTCGTTGGCAATTTGTGCCATTCTTGTACTTTCCTTTGTATTTTCCTGACCCTTTGATCATGACTTTTAGGGCTGCTAAATAGGAAATGATATAGAAACTTTTGTATGTTCAAAATAAAGTCGAAAATATAACTCGCTGGTAAACAAAAAGCAATGATCACCAGCGCTCTATTTTCCTCCAGGAAATTAATAATTCTATTTTTCCAATTATTTTGCTTCATTTCTGTAAAAGAGAAGGCCTATTTAAAGCGGAATAAGTACATTTCTTCTGATAACAACAACGAGATAACCTATAATTTAACCTAAAAAAAACAGATGTTACGTTTTAGTAGAGTTCATTAATTTAGTAAATTTAAAAAATTTATAATTTACTTATTTTCAGTTCTTCACTTCAAAATTATTAAGAAGCTCTTAGAATTTACTATTCTAAGTAGCACTGGCACAATTATTTTGAAATTAGAATTTAATTAATAATTAATTCTTGTGTTAGATTAGTTTTAAAATCAGGATTAAAGTTTAATCAGTATAGTTGAACGCATCTTACAAAAACAATAATAATAACACTAAAATTTTGGCGCGAAGATGAAAAAGACCCGGAGTAACTTATGCTCTCCTAATACAAAATCTAAGATTTTTGAAATACGCTTATGAACACGATGTTCGGCACCTTCACCATTTTTTAACACATTAAATGATGTGATGATGAATGATGGATGATGACCAGCGCCTTCACCATTTTTAATACATACTTTCTGTTACGTTTTTTTTAGATAATAAAATTATTTATATTATAAAGGAACTGAAAATGATTTTTNTCTTGGTTTTGGTCTTGGTCTTACTCATTTAATCTGATACTTAATTTTTTTTTAAATATTCCTTTAAACATAAATTTTTCTATTTAGCAACACAATAATAATTGTCTTAAATGCTGAAATTTCTGGCATACATGTAAACTTTTAAAGAAAATAGTATCGATAGTTGTATGAGTTGTGAAAACTCGAGAATTCACCCTTCCCCCAACGTATAAATTTAGCGACCTTGCATTTTCGGAAGACTAATACCAATTTTGCTCGTAGCTATTTGTAATTATACTACGTACACTAAAATAAAAATTAATACGCAAACGTTATCACCAATTAATTTTGTTTTTGGAAACAAAGCTTTTGTAGTAAATTAATTTAAATAATGATTACGATTACGATTCGACGTTGGCTTCTTGTTCTTCTCCATCTGTAGTTTTAACAGCACCGTCAACATGCACCAGGGCTCCAACAGGTTGCAAAACATCCGAATGAATTCTAATGGTCTCAATTGTTTTGGATTTTTTGGTTGGTTTCTTCAATAATTCTTCGATAGAATAAGGATTCTTTGTCCTTCCATCTCGAGACTGAACTTCCGACTTAATCGCGCCGGATGTGCGGCTTTTATTTTCGGTAAATGTTGGAGTTTGATTGAAAGGTACTACTAAGTTTGACCATGCACTTGTGGTACCGTCGACTAGGGGGTCGCTGGGGGTGCTAATGTGCAATTGCTGTTGTAAAATGGACATTTTGGAACTCATGTACGATGCATCCTGCATAGTGGGGTAGTACTGAAGGCGATTGCTTATAGCCGACATGTGCTTTGCATAAAGGTCATTTGCAGTCATGCCGTTGACGTCTGAAATGTGAACGTACAATTTCAATTTTTTACGTAGCTTCTTTCGTCCAAACGATATTATTATTATTGTAATTTTTTTAATTAAAGGCGTTTAAGGGTGCAAAAAAGGGGAAGCATTTTGTCCAATACAAAAAGATATTGTTTCATTACAGGTGGGTAGTAAATTAAAAGGAAGAGATAGCAATAATTAAGAAATCAAACTGACCCATAATCGCCGTTCCTACCACAATTACCATCATCATTAGTGTAAGTCGTTAACATAACGTGTATTGATGACATTAATTAAAGAGAAGGAAAAAGTGACGAATTTCACCAGCGAACGCTGACGTACAAAATATTTTTTTACAATTTATTATTATTTTTAAAATTTCACCTGATACTGTTTACATGTTTTAGTTTTAATTAGTGACTGTAATTATTAATAAACAATAGCGTCGATTATTATTAAGTCGATACGTTAGTTATTGTATCTGTTAAGTTAACAGATTGGATTTTCTCACAAAATCTATAAAAACCTTACTATTTGATGATAATTTCAAATGAAAATTACAGTGCTAGAAAAATCTATTGAAATGATTTGTGCAATTTAGAAAATTTTTGATTAGAAACGTAGTGTTACAGTCGAATGATGAGGATACCGTGGATAGAGAAGGTTAGAAATGAAGAGATGTTAGAAAGAATAGGAGAACAGAGGACTCTATCGAAGTCAATAATAAATAGGCGAGATAGGACACCTTCTCAGGCATGAAGGACTAGTCAGAGACATATTAGAAGCAGAAACGCGAGTTAGGAAGGGTAGAGGTAGACCTAGATTAGATTACTGTTAATAGTTAAGGATGTGGGTTGTTCTAGTTTTAGGGAAATGCGAAAATTAGCTCAGGATAGGAAAGAGTGGAGGTGCGTGTCCAAACAGTCTTAGGACAGATGACCTTATGGTGATGAGAGAAAATATATTTTTTGAAATGCTTGTACCTATTATTAGTTGAAAAAATGTTTTCAGTTTGTTTGTATTCCTTTATTCAATTTTACTGTCGCATCGCTGGTGCAATTGGCTCAAACATAGCTGTTGATGAAGTATTACAGATGGTTCTGCTTCTGTTTAAAGTTTAAACGAAGAGCGCGTTTAAGTTTATGGAAATTGGCAACTACTTATGGGTACTTATTGAAACATACATGTACAAGTATTAAACGACATTGCTAATACTTTTAAAAAAGAAATCGGCATTGTCGCCGATATAACGGCACGTTGGGTAGGTATGTTTCAATTAAGTGAACTGTTAACAATTGATTAATAATGCAAATTAACATTCTTCTGGACCACCCCTAATATGCTATTAATTCTTTGACGTTTATTTATTCACCTTTTACTTTTATGTATACGTACTACACGTTTAATGAACTTATTAACACAAATATCTGTCTTTTTATTATCCCAAAATTATTTTTTATGTGATGTTGTTAATACTTCTTTTCTTGGATTCGTTCGTACAGACCTACAGACTATGGCGATGATTTAGTGGCAGGCACTCATTAATTTTAAATCATAAAATAAAATAATTTTTTAAAATTATTGCTACTTAGTAAAATGGAAAAAGGTATTAGTTTCGATTATCGGCGAAAAAAAGTTTTATGAAACCTACCTGTTGGGTTTGAGGGGATGGCACCCTGCTGCTGCAAGATGTCCTGATGATCTGGCCAGGAAACCGTCGAAATACTGCTGTTCCTCAAGATACGATTGACGGAGCTTATTGAGGGTAAACTGTGTGGTTCACAGACCCTCTGGGCCGCCAGTTGTTCCCGAATTTCCCAGGCAAACATTCCCGGATTTTCCTGCTTGCACTTGAGAATCTTCTTTACCACCGTGGGCGTAGCCACTTGCTGCAACAGCCACATACTGTTACGAGCTGAACCTTTTCCGTAATACTGAAAAGTATAAATAATGGGTGCGATTTTGTTATGAAAATAAAACCCAATTTTTCCCTTCTGTTAATCATATAGATACGAGATCGGAATGTTTTAGATTTCTTTTTGTCTCCGTGTTATATTTTGAGTTATTAAATTTTTTTTATTTTCAAAAAATAATACGTATTCTACAGTTTTTCTCATTCAAAACGTTTAGGAACAGGAATACAATTTTTTTAAACAATGATATTGTATAGTAACGACTGACAGACTTGCAAAATTCAAAATGAAAATAGAAGCAACTGTATCTTAGATAAGAAAGATACAATCAGTTGAAGAAATGTTAAATTTTGAAGATATTTCGTAACTGTGACAATTTTTGCAGAATATATTACAGTAGAATCCGCTAATAATGACATCGAAGCGGGCGTTATATAAAGCATAGTCTTAGAAAATAAAGAACTTTCTATTTTGGTTAGTTATTTAGTTTAATAGAGAGAAAAACTACTAATTGTATGTAGGTATTTATTAACATAAAAAGAAAAAAATCGATGAATTGTAATATCAATATATATAACATATTTTGTCATTTTTTTTACATACGAAATCAATAATGCAGGAACAGGAGTGGGATGGGTCAGAAAAATGAGCGAAAATATTATTATTAATCATTTGGGTCACTATAGCCGGATATGATTTCTTGACAATCAGTCATAATAAACGATATGCCATTTTAAACGGAGTCATTATATCCAAAGTTTCTTATAGAGAATTTAATATGAAAAACAAACTTAACCCTGCAATTACTTTATATTAAGCGGTGGTCAATAATACTGTACTTTACTTTCGATGTTCTAGCAGAAGAAATTAAAAAGAAAAATCAGCCGCGAACGTGAAATTTATTTATTTATTATTCCTATCCAGGCGAGGAACACCCCGTATAAATGTATAGATAAAGATCAGGAGGCAACAAAGTGTTGACTTTGGAGGCTATGGTTAGATTTATCGATATATTTTATAGATATAATTTTTTAATTAAGTTCGCGTGTTATCTTTTAATGGGTAAATGAATTGCAGCTCTTGGTGTGAAAATAAATGCATTTACGATAATTTGAGGGCTGCTACCATACCGATACCTACCTGTAAGTGAGCTGGGAGTTCATTTTTAAAACCCTCAATTATAGCTTTTACGGCTCACTTTGATTTTACCGACCGATGTGTATAATAGTTATTAGGGATGCCAATTACAGGAGAACTAACATGGACTTCACGAATCGTAACAGTCACACAATATAATAAAATAAACAATTTTATAACAAATCGTCAGTGCTAAATAAAAATCGAAATAATTACTTAATTAGGACGCATTTTGTTTGCTATTAAGTAAGTAAACAACCATTAAATATTCTTTTAGTTTTTAATTACACAACTGATAAATAAAAAATTTAAATAGTTAGGAATTCAATGCTAATCCGATAAACAAAAGCTTTTTTAATATAATTAAATTCACATCTGCACCGCTGGGTGAAAGATGTATGAACATGAATGCTTTAGATTTTAGAAAGTTATAGAACTTCCGAGAAACTTCCAATTTTCTAGAACTTTCTAGAATTTTCTAGAAAATGCTGTTTGTTCCTAAATTTTGTCGAAAATTTTGGGATGTCTCTAAATGTTTTCAAAAGTTCTATTCTCTTTCGAGAAGAGTTAGTGCTATTTGCGAATAAATGAGATTTAGTGCCACTTGCGAACAGCAATAAGTAGCCTTGGGTTGACCTAGAAATTATAGTTTCATTTGCGAACAGACAGTAAGTTATTTAGCGTCTGTTATATAGGGGTTCCATCTCTTCGGAGTATATCTTTGGTATAGGTACATCTTCCTCCCGTGCTCGTTTTTTTGCCGAAAACAATCCTTTCCTTACTTCAATAAGAACCATATCCGGCTTAGAAGCATTTGGTAATGCCTAAATACCTACCTAATGATTATGATTGTTATTATTGTTGTTTATCATTTCATTTCTATTAAACAGATACAACCGAAATAAATAAAATGTAGTTGTTCGCAAATGGACCTATAATTATTAAGAGAACCTGGATCTTAATACGAGTGTTCGCAAATAACACCAAAATGTGGTTGTTCGCATCTGAAACGTTCGCAAGTAAGACGCCACCCTTTCGAGAAACCTCCAGTATTCCAGAAGTTTATAGAATTTCCTAAAAGAATTCTAGAATGTTTCACAATGTTTTTGAAAGTTCTATTCTCCAGCAATTTTTTTTAAGTTTTAACCAAGCATTATCTACAGTAAATACCTAGTTATAAAACACCAAAACCATTGCTCCACATAAAAACGTTTAGAAAACCTTAAACACACAAGGTGTTTGATCTTAAATAAGTTACAAAAAATGGAATGATATACTTTCAGTCGCGAAGAAAATAGTAACGATTTTCTATTAAACATTAGCTGCAAACATTGTCCTACATACAAAATACATAATGTTCTCATTGTGGGCGTCGTTATCACGAGTGGTTAGGGTTAGGGCAATTTAACCCTTAATAATAATACACGTGTGTTTGTTATCCTTATCTGTAGAGGACATCTCACACCATTACGAACAAATATTTAGACTGAAAGCTCGCTGTGGCTTTTCCAGTACATAAAATACGGAACTAGACATTTTCCTTTTTATGCGTCCTTAATAAAGCACACAAGCATCTGAATTTTCAATAGTTAACCTGCTCTTAGTTTTGCTCAAAATAAATTTCATTTGTGAAAATATATGCTCACATTTATAAGTGGACCCAAATGTGGACAAAATGGCAAAGCCAATTTTTTTTAACTCGTAGGAAGTGATGCCCAACATGTTGATATCATGAGAAAATGATTATCTTCTGTATTTTCCAAATCGTTCTGCAATTTTTTCAATTTATCCGTCCATAATGTTGAACTTTTAAAATCAGTCATTTCTGAACTAAAATTGTCAATTCTTAGATATTCAAAATACTGCAAATTTATAATTACTTGAAATAACCTATTGGGTCACTCGGTGACCCACGGGTCATAGGTTACCGACCCCTGGACTAGACCTTTCTCTGCCTAATGTCAAACAGTATTCTTATAACCTTTGCTCGTAAAAGTCGTGCCACGGTCGCAGCATACCTATCTATTACTTCATCTAGAAATTTTAGTGTTGGGCCAGTTTTCATATGCCTTTAAATATACAAATTCCGTAAAGCCATGAACCATTAGTATAAGATACAAGATTTCATAACACTTTTACAGGCGTTTTTTCCAAGGGGATATAGACTACCAGGTGCCTTACCTAAAAGCACTTTATTATGTAAACATCCTAAGCAGGAATTAATATAATTTTTTACATATTTGCGCATAGATGAAAACCAATATTTTGAACTTATCGATTCTACAGTTTTGTCTACTGCAAAATGAAACGGCATCGTTAATACATAAATATACTTCGTCATACTGTTCTGAGAATAACCGAACTGTTTTCTTTTCCTGTTTGTCGACAGTCGTTGGTCTTTTGTAAGTACAATAATTTTTATGGATTTTTGTGGTATTGAGACTGTCATTGCTGAGTGTAGTCACCAAGGGTGTCCTGATTGTTTAGATTAATCCTACCGATGAGAGCTTGGTCGTTGCGTCTATCAGTTGCTTCTGCCGTACATCTTGGAGCATTTTCAAATTGTGCAAAAAGTCTCTACCCAGTATTTGATGTGCTACGTCAGCGACGTTAAATTTCCAAGTTAATGATCGCCTCAAGTTGAGGTCCATGGTCAAGCTCTTCTCTCCGTAGATTCCGATCTTCGTCTGGTTGGCAACGAATAAGGCTTTGTCGTTGGCGGTCATCTTCTCGGCATATTGCTTGAGAAGCACGGATACGTCCGCACCTGAATCGATCAGGAAATGTATACCCGTCTTCTTGGGCGTTTTGATGTGGTTATCCCACTGGTTGCTGCCTCGATGCGTACCAGCGGCTCTCTAGTTTCCGGCCTTGCAGGTATGTACATGGCGTGCGGAAATGGCGAGCGTCGTTTCCGAACTTACGGTGGTAGTAACACATACCTGTGCTTATGCTTCTGGGAGAGTGATTGACCTCGCTAGTTACTGCTCTTGGTGTGGTCTCTAAAGCGGTTTTTTCTTCTGACGTAAAGCTCTTAAACTTATACGTCAGCGTCGCCATCACCATTGACAGTTCATGGATCTTTTCCGACGTCCTCTCTGTACTCAGGAGCGGGTGGTAGATATAGGCTCGCCGAATCGAAGTCTCTACTTAAACAGCAAAAATTTGCGTTGGTTGCATGACGTCTAGGATTCGGCAATTTTACGTCTGCTATGGCCTCACCACTATTTGCGGCGTCGTTGAATCGCCGTTTATCATCGGTGTATTGTTGGGGTCTGTTGTTGAATTCAGCGTGTGAGGCGCGTAAGCTATAAACTACACATTTACGAAGCACATTGTTTTTGTTGTAAATAACTATGCAGTTTCGCCATAGCACACCGCAGCAAGTTGATGTCGGCAACATGTGCTTGCGTCGTGTATCCGTACCATAGACATATATTAATGGACGTGTTTTAGCCGTATGTCGTATGGTTTCGGACTAGTGCTATCTCTTTCATGACACGCTTACGCACTATCGTGAGAGAGATGGATATTGTCCGAAACTTCGTTCCATCTTTTTCTTTTGTTGTATCACAATTCTGACCGCTAAGGCATGTCCATTTGTAAACGTCGATGATTNTAAAAAAGTAAAAATGTTTTTGATGATGGAGTCGACGAAGTTTTCTTCTAAAGTTAAATCAAATAAAAAGTTAATATGTTAATGGAAAAGCTGAATGATGATGAATTTTCAGATTAATATTTCATATTAAACAAACTCACTTCTAAAAGTTGTCTAAATTGTATGCATGTTTAAAATTACATTAATTTAAATAAATGCACGCTGAACGAATTTGTTGGTACACGTGCAACGTATCAATCATGTCACGAAAAATTGTGAAAAATTGACGACTAATTATTGTGAAAAGTCCATTATATCCTCTGATAGACAACACCTCATTAAGCATCATCGATACGAACGAAACTGTTTGCAGTCTCGTCTGCTCGCTCGTCATTATTAGTTCATTAATGTCTACTGAAGGAGTGCGTCGAGTGTTTATAAACAAAATTTAATGGTTAATATGTCCCGATATAATTAGGCTCTGATTCTATTACACCTGTGCTCACAATAGGGCTCCGATAGCTGTGAAATATCAAAAGCCGCGAGAATGATGCACCAGGCGTTGGAATTCACACGTACCTGCCAATTATTTATTATTATTATCCGAAAAGCACATCCACTTGCCCGATCACTTTTATAAAAAGACTATTATACGGTATAAAATTTTAATAATCATAATAATTATTTCTGAAAGGGGATTGTCGTTTTTTATTTAGACAGAGGAAAATCGCCTAATTTTGGATATTCCATTACTGCTAAACCATCACTTTCCGAGATCTCTTTCATCTTGGTAGTTTCCCTAAAACTAGCACATCCAACATCCTTAACTATTTGTGAACACACTCAGAAAAATGCTGTAAGAAAAATTACTATAACGTAGAGGTCTTTTTGTAGAAAATGCGACTCAAGTTTGTAGTAAGGTTAACTACGGTAAACTTAAATTTGTAGGAGAAATATCGACAGGGACTTCTTCTTACAATTTGAATGAAATATTTACGACAACAACTTTGTGAATTTCATTATAAATTGTAGAAAGGTTAAACAAATTTTGTAGAAAATATAAGAAAAAAATTAGTAATTTTTATTGAATATTTATTACGTTTCAGTTTTTTGTTCTGACTCAGTGCAAACATGTCTAGGAACCGTAATAGGGTGTGATCTCGTATGTAATATTTGCTAATATTGTGCAATAAGTTTCTTCGCTTGTATGGTGTTACTAAGCGTTAGTGTTATTTAAGTGGCTTCTACTGATCTGTTCGTTCTTGTTAAGTATGATAAGTTTATTAATTGCGGGGCGAGACATTTAACAAAGGAACAATTACAAGAAAAAGTTATCAATTTTACAGGATAATAGAAATCTATTTTTTTAACAGCCTGCTGCTCATTATTATGGATGCTTTTACAAGAGGAAAATTGTCTGAGTGGGGTTTTCAAGATTTAGCTGATGAACGAATTCGATAGAAGTCATTTACTTGAAACAGAATGGGTAGAAGTATTTATTATTTATTTTCAGAAAAGGACGTCTACTTTGTAATAAACTTTCATGTTTTTGTTCCTTGTTATATTATGTTTTATGCTTTTTTAAATACATGATTTAAATAACTGATTGTTTTATTTGTACACATTTCTACATATTCCTTATAGTTTCTGGTGAGACCGAAAATAAAATCAATAATTGTAGTGATTAATACATCATTACAACCCAAAGGTAGACTACACAATTCTAGAAATACCCACTACAACATATTTTCAAATGTACTGCAATGCAATGGTAAACTCAACTACTTTTTGTAAAGATGCGTAACACTATATTGTATAATTCATTCTTAATTGTTGTAGAGAAATATTCTACAATTTTGTATAATTTTTTTCTAATTATTGTATTGAAATATCCTACAATGAAAAGTAATTTTTAAGAGAAACTTGTAGTACATATTCTTTAACGTTGTGGTAGAGAGACAAACAGTTTGTAGACAATAGAGTAATTACAATATTATATTAATTTTCACTACAACTTGTTTCTGTCCCTATATTCGNACATGCTTTGGTTGTTGAATAAACAACATATAGACCGTTAGCGCGGTAGCGTGAACGCGAAGAAGAATTCTTGCAATGCTATACGAGAAACTAGATAGTAAAACCGCGACTCAATATCGTATCGTGGTGCGGGAGGCAACCTTCACTGCAACTGCAATGTTGCCAATAACGAAAACGTTGTGTTAAAGTTATCACGTAAAATTTTTAGACTGCAATCGTTGAAAATAAGTACAGTAGAACGCCGATTATCCGAACGCCGATTAACCGAATCGCCAATTATCCGAATCGGTCCTAAGCGTAATATAAAAAATTAAAACCAAGCACTGTAAGTACATAATGTAATTTTTGTTTTGTTTTGTTTTGTTGTCACAAGTTGAAACTCGCTGGAGTCCAAATATATTTCAACTGTTATTGTTGAAAGCTAGAGGCAAGACACTACATGTTTTGCGTCGAGCAGCTTCCGTGAAACGGAACGTTTGTTTTTTTTAACTCAATAACATTGATGTGATGTCCGATTATCCGAATTTTCGATTATCCTAATCGACGCCGGTCCCAATTAATTCGGATAATCGGCGTTCTACTGTATTTAGTTTCTCACCTTTGTTTTTGATCCCCCGATAGATCCCGGTCTTATGGATCCAGTTTCGTAAAATCGTGTCAATATTTTCGATACGCATCCGTGTGATACTAAAAGTTGTCGAGATATATCGCAGGGCCGTACTCCCAGTAATGCTAGTTCCACTATTCTTCTTCTGACACAGTCTGGCAGGGGGCGGCCGTTGACAAATACGCCTCCAAGTTGATTAACCCCAGCCTGTCCTGAAATAAAAAAAATTGTTGCAGAAATCAATGAGAATGTACCAGTTTATCAATATGAAATCTAAATATATGTGTGTATCGTACATCAAATTGAAGTAATCGATATTCTACGTTCAATAAAAAAGAGTGCGAGCGGACTGGCCACACGGCTCACGTGTGTTTGACGTGCATCGTATTTGAGCGAAAAAGTTGAAATTCTTGTAGATGAGCATCTCGTCGGGGAAAATTCCAACAAGGCATCGATAACCTCCACAGTATCTTCTTGAGTAGACGTTACCATACCTCCAGGATGATTTAAAGTCATAGCTTACTATTGCTATTCCCCGCAACTGTAGCGAAACGTTGGTATACGATTATAATTTTTGTAGGACAACTTTAGGAAAAGATACGGATGCAGGGGCAAAAGCAGGGGCGGCCTTAGCCACCGAGAAGTTTTGCGAAATCCTCGTCTTTGTGGAATCAGTTTTAATGATGATACTTGACGAGAAATTCATAAGTAAAAAGTTATTTATAAATAATTGGAAAAATTTAATGAAAGACAGCAAATTTGCGGCTTTTTTAAGACTATTAAGAAATTCAAATATGCATTAGTAGGTACTATTACTACGTAATAAAGTTAGATTGTTGCAAAAAGGCGCGAGGCCACTGCAAGAGCGAGGCCCCGGGCGGTTGCCCTGCTCGCCACCCCCAAAGGCCGCCCCTGGGCAAAAGATTAGTATGCGTATATTAGCACATGATATAGCAGTATTAGCATCTAGCAAGGAAGAGTTAGAGATAGCTTTAAATAAAATGAAAGCGGTATTGACAAAACAGTATTGCATGATAATAAATAAAAGTAAAACAAAAATACTGGTATGCAAGGGAAAAAAAGTAGGGAAAGAGCGAATATAAAAATAAGAAGAAGTGACTTATTTTCGTTATCTAAAAAGTCAAACAATTCAGGATGGAAGGAGTAGTAGAAATATAAAACAGAAGATAACGTAGGGGAGAGTCGCCTTTAACAAAAAAAAGAGTTACTTTTATATTCGTGAAAGGTTAATTTAGAAAATGAATAATAACAAAACGTTGCCATACAGAAATCCTTACTATTCAAAAAAGGATTTGTTAAGCTACCAAAGATATTGTTAAAAACTCGTTCCTGTTTGTCGGTTATTAGTTTTGTTTTTCAGAGGCAAACAAATGAATAATTTTTTTACATCGTCCGCGTTGATTTTCACAAATTATTTTTACATTTGGTCCGGTTTATATCCGAAGGGGTTATACTTATGCAAATCAGTCGGGTAATTACCGTAAGTGCGTTCAAGTAGCGGACGCTAACATGCCTTAATGAACAAGCGGTGTGTATTTTGTGACAAAGAAATTACGTCCGTCCATGCAAACTATTTAGTCGATTTACTCTTATGCAGGATATAATTTACGAGGATGTTTTTCTCCAGGCACAAATATTAGTGAACGTGTACCTGTGTACGTATTGTTTAGTTTTGTGGGGTTCACCGACGGCAAATTTCGCTTACTGTGCATCCCTCGCAATTATTTTTGAATCAACGATTCACCTGCAAACAACCATAGTTAAGGACATAATACTAATTTAGTAAATTGAGAACGTGGTCACGGAAGCTAGTAGACATATTGGATTTATAAAGACAATAGTTTCACCACTTGTTATTATTATTTTTATAAATATTTATTAGAAAGTGTTCAAAATAAAATATAATGATTTATTGCATGTAAAACAGGTAATCCAATCAGTCCATTGGACCATGTTTATAGTCCTATAAGGAAGAAATGTTCTATTCTTACGTTAGAGGACTACTGAGATTTCGTTAATATTTGTCTCTAATTTTTATCGCTAGATTGAATAATGAGTGTGAATTACATTTTTGATTTTTATTTTACCTTTTTTATAGTTATTTTGTTATAAGAAAGGATAATTAATAAATTTGGTTTTAGAAAACACCACAAATGGCGCGGTAAACGCCATCTGTAGTACGATGCTACATTTTAGGATTACGTATGCTCCAACAAGGTCCATTTAAATATATGGATATCTACTTGCTGAAACGAATCCCGGCGTAGCTAACCTCAACGTGATAGGCACGTTACCATAATCGAATA